TGGCAAACGTGTAAAAAAACCTTTTCAATAGAAAGATTAATATGAAGTTTTTGTCAAAAATATAATAAATATACGTAATTTGAATGAAGACAACATAAAAAATAATTTGGATACGTCATATTTTTGGTTCGCGGTACATCTTTTTTATGTTAGAGAAGCACAAAAACAAGCATAATTGACATTTCTTTACATGCTTTACATTATTTAAACTACATAAAATTGCTTTTAAAAAATTCTGCTTTTATATCCTGTAGTAATTGTATAATAATAATAATATTCAGAACGAAAAATTACTTTAAACTATACGGTGATAAACAAAAAAATCAGACTTCTTAATACGTTCTTCTTATACCTTAGAAACACTAAGATAAACAAAGTCGATCTTTCTTTACAGGTTTATTCTGTCGTTATGATCTTGTAAAAATTCTATAATAATAAAAATTCTTAGCGAAAAATGACTTAAAACTTTATATAATTTGAAAACAAACACAAATAGTTTGAAGTCTTCTTAGTATCTCCTTTAGATACCAAAAGAAGAAAATAAAAACAAACGGAGTCGATTTTTCTTTCTGGATTTTTATTGTTGTAGAAATTCTTATCTTTAAACAAATTCCTTGTTATCGCTTAATTTTATTACTTAGTATTTCCGTGACTCTTCAAAGTTTTTACCTTCGCGTATCTACTTGTTAAACCATCAAAATTGCCTACAATAATAAACCAATTATTAAATTAAAACAATTGTTTTTAATCTTTAATTAAATCATTAAAAGTTGCCAAATGAAGAAATCTTTACATTCTTGAAGTAAAATACTGTAATTAAATTTGGATTCTTCTTTCTTTTCAAATCTTTAATTTAATTTCGTGTTGTAGATTCTTACTTTACAATAAAATAAAACGGAAATTAATTTATTTACCATTGTAAAATATACAAAAATAAAAAGTAAGTTGTTTAATAATAAAAAATCAAGACAGAAATTTACTTTAAAAATTCTATTTACAAATGTTTAAAATAAATTTCTTAATTTACTTTTAAGTAATTTTACGTATTTAAGTAGACTATAAAGAAGATCGACTCTGCTGAATGATCTTAGAGGCATTTGTTTTTGTCACTTTCATTTTATTCCTGTATTTTTTTTTTTTTTTTTTGTAATCAGTAAGTGCGAAATGACGTCAAACTGACGTAATAGTGTACATTATTCTGACAAAAGCAGAACCCAAACCTTTTTTTTATAGGCTCTTCCCCACTTAAATGTGTAAAATTGCTTAAATAGCGATTTACTTTAGCAAAATTTTCGCAATTTACTTTTTTTTTAACTCTTTCCTCTCTGTGGGCCTTTTAAATCATGCACATGGTCTCGTCATTTACCCATTCGGGCCTTGTTGGCCCGAATGGGTAAATGACGAGACCATGAAAAATTCCTAGGGTTGTTTTCCTGGATTCGATCCTGGAATCCACAGAGAAATAGGCTGAATAAGCCTTAACTACAATTTATCACAATTTATTTTAAGTAATTCGACAAATTTAAGGAAGGAAGAACGTATAAGGAAGGTCGACTCCATTTTGTGATCTTCTCTTCCTGTAATGTAAAGAGGAAGAATTATAAATACTTTTAGTATATTCTCATAAACTAGTTTAAGTATTTCTTTTTAAATATATAAAGTTTGTAGACAATTTGATAAGTGACTATTAATAATTTCTGCTAAGAGCATTACTTTCGTTCTTCGTGTTTTCTGTCATAACTAACTCGCCACAGATGACAAATGGCGTAATGTCCATCTAAGTGGAAATCCTTCGAAATCAGGATTTCCGTTGTCGACTTTCCACCACATAATATTGACAGAATTATTTAATTACTCCACCTTAACAATATTTTATATATAGACTCCTCGCTGCTTGCACTGTTAATAAAATTAATTAGTATTTAAATAACGGAATATAATTTTGATAATTAAATTTAAGAAATAATGAACAGTAATTAATAAACAACACGAGAATATATGGTTAATTAAGTTAAAATTTAAATTTCTTCAAAAGCCAATAAAAACCTTTATGAGTTATTACGTCAATTAAAAATCAGCCAATCAATTAGTGGTATTGGAAAATTTAAATCTTTTTTTATAATTTCTCATGAAATTATTATAGATAATATTTTAAATAAAAACAAATATAATTTTTTTTATATTTTTCTAAATTAAATTAATTTTTAATTTTATTTCTTTCATTGTTATTATTTAGTTTTTATTATTTTAAAATTATAATGTCATTACTAAAAATGTTTATTAATATTGAATTTTTATATGACATATTCGAAATATATTATGAAATTCTTATTTTATTTATAATAAAATGTAAAAAATATATACTTTTATATAAACTTTAACAATTTTTATTATTATTTTCCTATTTTATTGTTGAAAATCTGCTATTTTTAGAGTAAAAGAAACTCGCTATTTTCTTAAATAAGTTTTTATATATTCAGAATTAAATAAGAGGAAATCAAGTGGGTGGAAATCATTACTTTTGTTACTTTTCCTTTATTCAAAGAATAAACTTTCCTACTCAATTTACAAACTGAATATTTATAAAACTTTTAAACGTTATATAACTGTTAAAAAACAATTTTTAACTTATAAAAACAAACACAATTTATTTTGATGGTAATATTATATCCTAAACATTTAAAATAATAAATTTACAATAAATTGATAAAGTGAAAATTGTATTTTGATAGTCGACAAGGTGAAGCCATTATATATATATATTTGTCCCCTCAAAACACAATTGAAAATTAGCATAACTCGACGTCATTCGATTCAAAATGGACACAAATTCTCAGATTTTAACATACAAAGTGCATACTATAGAATGTTGAAAAGGTAGAAAAGTTTGCAAATTTACAGGAAATGCTATTTAATTTTAAAATAGTTTAATAGACATTTATTCTGAGCCACTTCCCTCTTGTAAAATTTCAATTTGACCCTCTATAATTTGTTTATTATTAAAAAGGAAGCTATATATCATTTAGTTACTGAAGACATTTTCCTTATTTTAATTTATTCTGTATTAAATAAAGAATAAAATATTTACTCATGCTTCTAGTACTTTATTACAGTCGAACCTCCAATATGGTCATCTTTTAACAATGATCATTTCTAAACAGTGGCCATTTATTTAAGGAAATTTTATTTTAACAAAAATGCATTCAAAATAACGTTCAAATAATGATCACCTGCGAACAACAGCTATTTTTTATGCGTTATTTAAAACAGCTATAAATAGACTATGCCCAAGCTCATACGGAGAAACGATTAGAAGGTTATCTATTCGAGAGCGAACATGGAAAGATTCTCAGAATCTATTATTTAAGACTTTAACTATCAATAAAACATTTGAAATGAAAATAATATAAATGAAATTTTATTTAATAAATGGTGAAAAAGATATGTTCTTTTATTTGTTTTATTGGTTTTGTTCTTTTATTTGTTTTATTGATTTTGTTCTCATATTTTTATGGCTTTTGGAGAGGGATGAGGCTCGTACATTTGTCTAAGAAAGATGAAATGGCTGGTGCCATTTCACCTTTCTCAGATCCCAAGCATATATTTACCTTATGTGATTTTCATGGATAATACGTCGAGATATCATTCACCATTTTTCTCCCTGTGATGCAAATAGACAAGGTATGCCACATCTTATTCTAGAAATGATAGAAGTTGTGCGCGATGTCATGTTTACTGGATATTGGCTGACAGTTTCTCTCGCTTTCAATACCAATACTTTTTTAAAATATTTTAATGTAATTTATGATATATAGGCCTAAAATTTTAGATTTTGAAAATTTAATTTAAAAAGATTATTTAATTTTCAAAATTGACACGTGTAGCTTAATTAATTAAACACTGAAGAAAAGACAAACTTAATGAAGTACGTATTACTTATTATATTTTAAATTAATCTTGAGTAAAACGTTTATTTTATTTATTATTTCTGAGGGAAACTCATGAAATGTGTTTTATACTATAAATTTAATTTTTAAATTTTCATTTTGAAAACAGGATACCAAATTGATTTTAATATAATCTCTTATTATTTGAAAATATAATAAAGAAAAACTATAACCGTTGCGCGGGCAAAGTGGTAAAAACAACAACCTGGAGGCTCGGGTTCGAGCCATAATCGATTCAGAAGTTTCATAAGTGGGAGTAGGTTGACCTGTACACGTTGAGTCTATCCTCAACATCTGGCTACCTCTTCTATATTTCCGATCAAACTCATAATGATATAGAAAAGAGGAAATTCTTAATGCTCGCAAGACAGAAAAAAAAAAAAAAANTCGATCAGTCTATAACATGAAACAACTTTATAAAACATCTGGATAAAGAAGAGGAATTTTTTTTTCTTCCTTACTTTATTCACATTTCTCTATCACATAAACTGCTATCACTTCAACTATTTATTATTATTTTTTTAATATTATTTTCTTCTCTTATTGAACATCCACTTTCTTGGTATTCTATTTCCAATATCTACTTTTATTCTATGAGAAAATGGGTACAGATTTGGGTGCGAATAGAACCCAAATTTGTTGAAATTAAAGCACTATATTATTATAATTAACATTCTGTGCCCTTGCATTTTCAATATAATTGAAGGTACAGTCGACCACCCCCCCCCCTATAACACTGTTGATTATTCCGTTCTATATGAATTCCATGTTGTACGAGTCACTTAGATTTTACAAATACGTGTGCCGGGCTGTGAATGGTTCACGTATTTGTAAAATCTAAGTGACTCGTACAACATGGAATTCATATAAAACGGAAAAATCAACAGCGTTATAGGGGGGTCGACTGTAAATGCTTATATATAGACTATATTCGAATTTATTTATTTTATAAGAATTTGATTTAATTTTAAAACATTAAAAAGTAAAATAAAAATATAATCTTTACTTTATTCGCAATCTGGATACTGTATAATTTTAGAGAAAGGTGAGAATCTATTACTTTTTTTAATTGTAATTTACTTTATAATAATTAAATTAATAGGATAATATGATTTATATGACGATATAGAAGGTGTTAAACATTAAAATTACTTTAATTTCTCAGTCGAGTAGGCACGTTGACGACTTATTCATCGATTTACGAGATGGTCACAACCTTATTTCATTACTGGAAGTTCTATCCGGAGAATTATTGGTAAGTTAACATGCCGTAAGAATATAATGAATAATAAATTAAATATCTTAGTTAAAAGTAAAAGCATTTTATATATATATATATATATATTTAGCCGAGAGAGAGGGGTCGCATGCGATTCCACATGCTACAAAATGTTCAAACCGCCTTAGACTTCTTGAAAGGAAGAAAGGTGAGCGCACTTTTTAAAAATATTTTAATAAAAAATTTAATACACATTATATTTTATAGATTTAAGTATTAAAATCACATATTACAATATATATATTTTTTCCCTCCAAAATAAAATCCATTTTAAGAGACGTAACCATTTAAAATTGTGCCAGAAAGCAACGGGAATACGAGCAAATCGGATTGTAAAAATTGAGAAAACAGAATAAAATCATCGAGAATATTATAGACATTTTTTTTTCTATTAAAATGTTTTACTTGGCACGTATTGATGTGGTATTTAAAAATATGAATTTTTGTAGAAAATATATGTGTGAAGAGAATGATGACAATGAGAAGGAAAAACTAATGGTTATCCCTTTTTTCAACGTTCTGGTATGGTGTAATTAATGTATTTTTGGAACCATAGTTCGCATTTACGAAAGAATTTCACATAAAGATGGACTGTTTCTCTTAAACGATATTTCTGACTTTATTGCAACAACGTTTTCATTCTCGTTAGAAGAACAAAGAAAACTTTGTTGAAAGAAACAAGCATCATTCTTTTCTTTACAGAACATCCTGTTGTGAGATAAAAACAAAGAAAAGCGCATCAATTTTTCTTTTCTTCTTCAATTTTCTCTGTTTCAAACCAATCTAATTTCAGAAACTTCCTTTATATTTTTATGCAATCTTTTGGTTTAATTAATGGTTTTAAAACCCTCTTTATTTTTTAGTATTTTCTCACTTAAAAATTGGATCCATAATTTATAATAATTATATAAATATTTAAAATATTCTCAAGAATGACATATGTAAAAATATTAAATAAGCAAAACAAAAGTTATGAAAAATATGAATGGAAATTAATAATATTTATTTCAAATAAATTAATATTTGTTCTTTTAATTTAATATTAACAAAATTATTAAATTTAATGAGCTAGAAATCATTATATATACAGAGATTTTCTTTAAATATTTCTCTGTAGACCTATATTATATTTGAAACAAAAATATACTCATCAGGCATTTTAAAAACAAAATTATACAGACAAAAAAAAATAAAAGTGCAGTATTCTATAGGGGAAAGAGAAATAATAATACTGTATCATTATTTCTTTTTCTTCTCTTGAACCAAAATAGCAGAAAGAAATTGCAATGACTGTTTTAAAACAAAAAAGAAAGAAAGATATAATATCTGTAAAGTAAACTTGGCAATGTTTTTATAAAAGTTCTTGCTTTTAGAAATTTTTATGAATATTTTTAAAGGAATAGATTAAATATAAAAGCATTCACTGTTATTATTATTTGCTGTTTCTCAGCTGTCAATTGTATTGCTGGTATTGGTTATTTTTACACATCAGATTTTTAGGAAAAATCTAAGATGTAATGTATTGGAGTAGATGTGTGGACCCCAGCAGCAGTGTGGCTTTTTTGTAGTTGACTGATGGCAATTTTCAGATCTTCTGAGTGTTGGCATAAATTGTTTTGGAACAGCAGCCAGTGTATCAATGACTATTGGTACCACAATTGCTGGTTATTACCATAACCTTTGAATTCCAATCTTTAGATATTGGTATTTTATTATCTTTTCTTGTTCTTTTTATTTGATCTTGGAGAATTTCCTGGTATGGCAGTGTCAATGATCCACACTTTTTTCTCTCAACCACAGTTATATCTGGTGTATCATGTACTAGAACTTTGTCTGTTTGTATTCTAAAGTCCCATGGAATCTTAACTTGGTAGTTTTTTAAATCTCTTATTATTTGAAAATATAATAAAGAAAAACTATAACCGTTGCGCGGGCAAAGTGGTAAAAACAACAACCTGGAGGCTCGGGTTCGAGCCATAATCGATTCAGAAGTTTCATAAGTGGGAGTAGGTTGACCTGTACACGTTGAGTCTATCCTCAACATCTGGCTACCTCTTCTATATTTCCGATCAAACTCATAATGATATAGAAAAGAGGAAATTCTTAATGCTCGCAAGACAGAAAAAAAAAAAAACAGAAATAAATATTGAAGTACAGTACAGTACACCCCCTATAACGCGGGTTCCTATAACGGAGATTCCTATAACGCGGCGAAAAAATTGCGACAATATTCGTATAAAGACGCTAAAAGGGACGCGTAAAACGCGGTAAAACGTCATCGCCAACTCGTCATCGCGGACGAGCAGCCGAACTACTTTCCGCCGTCCAGCGCCATGCTACGGACAGTTTAGGCGAGTAAGTTGAGTNTAAAGAAATCTGTTGCATCTGCCATTGCCTCCTCAATAAGAACCTGTACAAAGGATTTTAAAATGAAGAAATTTAAAACTAATTTACAGAGCCTGGCCTAGAGAGGACGATCGCTCTATGGTTTCTTATTGTTAACAAGATCTTCATTACTTTTATAAAATAATGTTCATATTTTAATATTTTTATAATTACTTTAAAGTTTTTATGTTAAGTTTACAAACAGTATTTTAATTTGATTAATTATTAAAGAAATGATGCTTTTATATATTATTTCATTACACAAAAATAGCCCCCTAAAGTTTGCTCTTGGCCCCAATAGTTATTAAATTGTTTGGTGTTTTACAAATCAAATTACTAAAGAAGGCTTAAAATATTTAGCTGGAAATATTGTGTATAAATTTAAAAATAAATATAATAATTTTGGCAAAAAATTCCAAAAATATGTTAAACAAAAATAATTTTTATTGGTTACAGTTTACATCTAAATATCATTATTATATCCTAGTGAAATTCTGCAATATCCTTTTGAATAGTTTATAGTTTTGTTTAATTACAGGGTAAAACCAATATTCTAAGAAAACAAAACTATTTAAAAAGAGGTAATATTGTGCATTGTTAGTACAAGAACTTACATAAGACCATAGTAATTAAACCGAAAAATGTTTAAGTTTGCTTGAGGACAATACATTTTTACACAATTAAAGCCTTGTTTTACATGACAAATATAAATATTCTATCTGTAAGAGAAAACTGTAACTTATAATATAAAAAATATTCACAAATTTTGTAACTATTTTTTATATTTCATTGCTGTCCTAGCAATTTTATTTATTAATTACTTTGTGTTTATCTATATTGTGAAATGTAAGTCTTTAGTCGTACAGTGTTAGCATTTATTGGCATAAAACATAAAAGGTTTATTTTATGTAAAAATTTTAGTTTTATATAATATATTACTGTTAGATTTTTATTGCATTATATAAAATAAAAAAAATTTCATTCTGCTTAGGGGTTGTTCGTTAATTGCGTCTACAGTCAGGTTTTGAGCTACTTTTGATCCCCTTCCTTCCTTTAATTATATGTAAGATAGTTCATGGACCCCCTGACATTAAAGAAATGATTTTAAAAAAGTCTACCTAGATAATGTCTCGACCCCCTCCTTCTCCATCGATATAATTATGTAGGCTACTTTTTGCGATGTCCTCCTCTCTTAAACTGTAAACGTAATTAATGGACGGCCACTGATAGCGGTTGCAAAAAGAACAAAAATATTAAAATCCCATAAGAATTATTTATTTACTTCTGAAATTATATCTTGGTTTAAATAATTCTCTTAAAATTACCATAACACATTGAATTTGAATTACATTTGTTCAATCTATTGAATGCCCTGTAGCATATCTTGTCTACTTGTACCACGCTTCGTCCATGATGATCGACTCCATTGAAGGTCTGAATTACTAATAATAGAGGTAATATTCCGTGTTAATTAATCAATTAATTAGTTTATTTATGATTAATCTTAACGTATGAAAATATTATGACATTCTATATATAAACTTAATAAAGTAGATAAATAAGTAGAGAGTTATAAACTATAATTACAATACTTCTATTATAAGATTATATATAATTAGAAAATTAAGTACACTCTAGGCTATAACTTATTATATAATTTTAACTATGAGATTAAAATAAAAAATGATATTTTGATATTCTTGAAGAGAATAAGCATAATTTTACACTAAATAAAAAGGTAAGTTGACACATAGAACCCATTCGTCTTTAGATAAATGTTAGGAAATTTAGTGACTCGTACTTTTATCTTGAAAACTTTCTTTTAAGAAGTATACTTTTTTAAAAAAAAAGAAAAAATANTAAAATGCTTTAATAGTAATCAAACAAAATGTTAAAATATTATTTTACTTATTATTTTAAAATAACTTTTAATCTCCATCATTTCAATAATTACCAATTAATGTATTTTTTGTAATTCTCTAAAGTTAACCCCCTGTAACAAGATCTTTCTTATTACAATAAAGTATTTGTAAAGTATTTGTAATAATTACCAATTAATTTGTATCTTGATAATTATTATTAATAATTTTTGCATTTTTGCTTAAAGAATAATTTTAACTACAACCATTACTTTACGATATCATGTTCAACTAAATGCATTAATATAATTAATTACATTTTTGTATTTTATTTTTAATTATTAAACTTAATTTACTAGTTGCATCTATATTTGATTGCACCAGAAGCTATTTACAATAATTACATTATTTTAAATTTTCCATAATTAATTTTTTTTAAGTTATATTTCTAATTTTCGTATTGTATGAAGTGATCCAAAACAAAGACTTAACCCAAAAAAAACATAAAGTTAAGTTCTTTTGATAGTTAACTATAAACTTAATCCTTAATAGGTTAAGTTTGTTGAGGAACTTAAGAGCCAAATGACTTTTCTTCAGATTACTTTTCTGTTGTAAGAAATTTTATTTTTATCGAAAACAATTTAAAGAAACCTGTTGCATCTGCCATTGCCTCCTCAATAAGAACCTGTACAAAGGATTTTAAAATGAAGAAATTTAAAACTAATTTACAGAGCCTGGCCTAGAGAGGACGATCGCTCTATGGTTTCTTATTGTTAACAAGATCTTCATTACTTTTATAAAATAATGTTCATATTTTAATATTTTTATAATTACTTTAAAGTTTTTATGTTAAGTTTACAAACAGTATTTTAATTTGATTAATTATTAAAGAAATGATGCTTTT